GACACAATCCGAACTTTGGTAGCTTTTGCTGCATAGAGAAGCTGGAAATTATATCAACTTGATGTTAAATCTGCATTTTTGAATGGAAAATTGCAGGAAGAAGTCAATGTTGAACAACCTGAGGGATTTGTGATTGATGGCAAGGAGGATAAAGTCTACAGACTGTATAAGGCTTTGTATGGGTTTAAGTAGGCACCTAGAGCCTGGTATGGGGAGATTGATAGTTACTTCACTCAGTGTGGGTTCATAAAAAGCTTGAGTGAAACAACTCTCTATACTAAGACAATGGGAGATAAGGATATTCTAATTGTCTCTATCTATGTTGATGACATAGTATACACTGGGAATAATCAAGAGATGCTGAATGAGTTCAAAAAAGACATGAAAGTTAAATATGAAATGACAGACCTCGGGTTACTTCATCATTTTCTGAGGATGAGAGTAATACAAACAGATACAAACATCTTTATTCACCAAAGGAAGTATGCTTCTTCCTTATTGTATAAATTTGGTCTAAAGGAGTGCAAACATGTTTCCATACCTCTCATTGCTACTGAAAAATAAAGCAAGGATGATGGGAGTGGTGCAGCAAATGAGGAGCAGTATAGGAAAATTGTTGGAAGTCTGTTGTACCTTACTGCCACAAGGCCAGATGTAATGTATGCAACTAGTTTACTAGCCATATATATGCACTGTCCTACAAATAAACACTATGGAACAGCTAAGAGAGTGCTCATATATGTTAGAGGAACATTGGACTATGGCTTGAAGTATGAGAAAGGCAAGAAGGCGGTCTTGGTTGGTTTTTGCGATAGTGACTGGGGAGGATCACTTGAAGACAGCAAAAGCACTTTAGGCTATGCCTTCTCCTTTGGAAGTAGAGTGTTCTCATGGGCCTCTGTGAAACAAAATTGTGTTGTTCTTTCTACTGCAGAAGCCGAGTACATAAGTGCTTCTGAAGCCACAGCTCAGGCCATATGGCTCAGATTCATCCTGGACGATTTTGGAGAGCTACAAGCAGATGTAACTCCCTTGCAGTGTGACAACACATCTGTAATCTCAATAGCTAAGAACCCCGTGTTTCATCAGAGGAAAAAACACATCGACAGGTGATATCACTTCATCAAGGATGCCTTGCAACAAGGGATAGTTGATTTGGTCTACTGTCCTACAAAAGAACAAGTGGCAGACATCTTCACCAAAGCTTTGCCGAAGGAGAGATTCAACTATCTCAGGGACAAACTTGGAGTTATATCAGCTCAAAGCTTAAAGGGGAGTGTTAGTGTATAAGCTATTGAGCTTACTTTGAAATTATAAGTAAATAAGCCCTGTATTTAATTATGTATTCACTTTGGTAATTTCACCAAGTGTAGGGCTCATATTGTAAAAGGGTCTTAGTAACAGGTGTAAGGATCTCTTTGTATCCATCTAGATGTGTGGCTGAGATCATCTTTTCTGATATACTTTGTAACCCATCCGGTGTGCACAGTGTGTGTGCGTGAAGGAATACATTTATAGATTTCTCTCTCTGCAAGTTAGTACAGAGAGCACCACCATCAAAATCTTCTCTCCATTGCTTTGATCTGTTTTTCATTCCTATTCCTACTCCTCCTTCATCTACAAAATAACTAACAGAACTTTAACAATTCTCCCAACTTTTTCAGATTTTGATTGGGTTGCAGATCTCAATACAAGGAGATCTGTTATAGGATACATTGTTTATCTTGGAATCAATCCAATTTCATGGCAGTCAAAGAAACAATCATATGTCTCTAGGAGCTCTACGGAGGCTGAATATAAGGCACTTGCTCACACAGTTGGAGACCTAGCTTGGGTAAGGCAAATACTAAAAGATTTGAAGTGTGTATTGCCTCAACCACCAATGATACATTGTGACAACAAGTCTACCATAACATTGAGTTCCATTCCTATCTTTTATTCCAGAATAAAGCACTTGGATACAGATTATCATTTTGTGAGGGAAATAGTGTAGAAGGGAAATCTTGAGGTACTTTGTATTCCTATAGAAGGACAAACTGCAGATGTTTTGACTAAAGGGTTACACGGTCCTTATTTCTCAAACATTGTTACAATCTCAAGCTAGGAAATCCTAGCTTAGATTGAGGGGGGATGTTGACTATATCTGTGAAGTGTGCAAATGTCCAACTCAACAAAAGTTAGTTAGATAGTTGTTATTGTTGCTAGAGTTTGTTTGGCTGTTATCTCAGTAGCTTAGGCTGAAAGCTAACATTTGTAGCTGTATGAAGTTGTAATCTCATAATTGTAAACTCAATTCATTCACTATCAATACAATACAAGTCCTCTCTTTGTTCATCTCTCTCTCTAAAGTTTCATAGTGTTCATAGTATATTTTCTGCATTCTTAATACTTTGTTAATATTTTTTACTCAACTTTTAACACACATTTTTGTAGGGTTCACTTCGTAATGTATTTTAAGAACCCGAATTGTGTATCTTTTAGGTCTTCCCTCAAAGATCATATCTATCAAAAATCACCCAAATCTAAAACCATATGACCATTCAATTAAAGGTTTAGGGTTTCTTGTAGAACCGTACGTATTCGTCCATTTTCTTTACTACAAATGAATGTCTAAATGGTTTTGGAGTTGTCCAATTTTTTGCAAGAATGATCTATGAACAATGTTCTAAAAGATAAACGGTTTGGATCTTCAAAATATATTACGGAGTAAACCCACAAGAACATGTATAAAAAAATCATATAAAAAAGTGGTATCCCGAATTCACCGTATATATATTTCTCTTGACAAATATAATCCAACAACCACCTTCTAATATTAGTAAAAAAAATAATAAATACACATTCATGCACCATCTTCTGAACTGCGCCAAAAACTATATACCTCTTCTGTGCATTAATTATTACCATGCAAGCGGTTCAAAGGGTACACTGCATTTTTTACCAGATTCGAAGGATCGGTGCCTCTTCTGCATGCATCACTCTCAACCAGTAGACCACCATGCAATGCAGGTATGATATATGTATATGTATATGTATATGTGTATGTGTTAATGTGTATATGTATATGTGTACGTATATGTGTATATACAATACACTCTCAAATGCTTTGGCAGAAAAAACCAGCCTTAATTTGGTGGGGGCGCCTATAATCTATTGGACCAAAAGGCAAAGGCTGCTAATTAGACACTAATGGGTTTCTATATACATAGTTATATTAATAATAGTGCAACGCGCATGTTGGTTGATGCTGTTTGTTTCTCATGCATCCAAGTTGAGATATATATATATATACACACACACAGAGACTCTTTATGCAAAGGGATTCTTATTTTTTGAAAAAAATAGAGATTAAGTGTGGGGCTCACTTCACATCAAATTTCAATGATCCGAACCGTCTATTTTGTGAGTCTCGATTCATAGATTATCCTTGCAAAAATTCAATTCAATCCGAAACCATTTGCCTATTTAATTATTAAGATCAAATTTCATTGTTTCTTATAAAACAAAGTATTCGTTCATTTCTTTGAACCCAATTAGATGTCTTAAATATTTATGATTTGGCTAATAATTTGCAAGGATGATCTATGAGGTACAACTTGAAAAATAGACGTTCAGATCGTTAAAATTTGATGTGGTGTGGACCCCACAACTAATCCCTATTTTTATAAAAAAATAAAAATAAAAATCCATTCCCTTAAAGGCTTTCTATATATATAGGCTCAACTAGCATTCGAATTCTTGCTTTATTTCTTATTTAATCCCAATTGTTAATTTTGAGCATTTGAAAACCATACCCATGCCAAGCCAATATAAATCAATTAATAAATCTTACCAACATTTAATCCCAATTGTTAATTTTGAGCATTTGAAAACCATGCCCATGCCAAGCCAATATAAATCAATTAATAAATCTTACCAACTTGGTAGTAGATATTAGGTGGCATGGTGGCATGCATCGAGATCATTGGATCAACTTAATATAGGATTCGAAGTTGTTAACCAAAAGTAGGTTTAAGGTTATATTTGAGAGCTGTTATTAATACTCCTTAAACCTTAATTTGCACTCATTTTATATTTTAAATTATCTTTTCTAATTCTTTTAATGAGATTTCCGATTTTACCCCTGTATCACTTTTAGTATCCTCTAGACACTTGAAAACCTCATTAAGTGTGATGACATAAATATTATAGGAAAATGTAGAGACCTTTTATGCTCTAGAAGCAAGCAATACCGGATACGTCGCCTCCACACAAAAGCCAAGTCGGCCATTTTAGGGACTTTGCCACACAAAAGCCAAGTCGGCAATTTCAGGGACTCTGCCATCGATCTTCAAAAATATTGTTCAAGGTTGTTAAGGAACATGAGCTTGCATATTTGGTTTCTGGGGATTTTACCAGATACTTTTGTTAGATTGCGTGAACGCTCGATTATAATCGAAAGTGAGCAGGTGGTTTGTTTTATCTTTGCTTTCTTTCTTGCATTTAGTGGTATTTTGCTTCTTTAACAACATTTCTTAAAAAATACGGTAAGTGGAGGAGTGTAGACTGAGATTTAGAGAGTGCTAATAACAGTTCCCTTATATTTTCTTCAAAAATACTTTTGCTTTTCTACATAAGCTCACTTACCGTGGATCTCCACACTGTTGAACGATTAGTATACAAATACCAAATCGTTAGTTCTTCTCTTTATTTAAGCTTAACTTTTAATTATATTCATCTATGAATTTAACAATGAGAAATAACTTTTGCACTCTTATTATCTGCACTATTCTATTCCATTTTACAAGACGATATGTTAACTGATGTCAGTTAAGGGAGCAGAAAAATTTAAGGGAGATTTTTGAATTCGGTCCGTAGTTAATTTTTGACTAAAACCTTATAATAGTATTCAATTTTTGACTCATTATATCATTATTAATATGTATATTTCTAAATGTTTGACATTTATGATATTTATAATCCCATATCCTGCAATCAGTGCTCTAAGTGAGCCAGGTGCCCTAACTGTACCAACAACTATATCCCCACCTCACTTGGTTCAAATTTGTTCTCTCTATTATTTCCTGCATAAAAAGTACACCATATGTCAATATCTTGTCCCTTTTTATTTTTTTTCTAAACTCGATATTTTACTTTAAACTAATATAAACTGCACGACAAAGATTCAAACTCGGCTTCATAGGGCAGATACAAACATAATTAAATTAAAACATTCATTCCTCCGGAATTGAGTTGGGAATTCAGGAACTGTAACAAACCTTTAAAACAGGTGCCAGTAAATCATCAGGTAGAGTGTCCTTAAAACCGCCTCGCTTTGCCTTGCAAATGGCAGTCCGATATGCTCTATTTAACATGATTTTCGCAACAAGATTTAATACAGAAAAGCTATAAAGTTACAAACTTTGCTATAAATTTTATACAAGGACACAAAAAGTAGTAAAAATTAAGTAACTTATCGGTTAGTTTAAATCACTCACGCCACAATCACTACATCGTCTCCAAAAGCAGTTGTTCTATGGTAGGCAGCACTATCTCCAGCTGCACATATTGAAGCCTAACAAAACAATTCAGAAGAAAATAAATTAAAATCTAAAAAAAAAAACAAAATAATATAAAACAAATATTTACAAAAATGAAGAAGTCAACAGAAAAGAAAGTGGATATAAACTTACAGAAAGAGGAGCAAATTCATAATTGAAAGAAGAAACAGAAGAATTGGGTCTCAAATGCTGCAGCAGAACCCTCTGTCTGTTCATTGCTTTATCCATCTCTCTCTCTCTCTCTCTCTAGAAAATGGAATTTGCAGAAAGCTCTTTGATCAATTAAATTTGTGGAGCAGCAAAAACATATGCAATGGTTTGTGGGAACAGTTGATGTTATCCACATTGAGCTGTCCCCCAACAACTACTTTTTTGTTTTGTTTTTTGCTTTTTGTTTTTTGTTTTTTTTGTTTTTTGTTTTTTTGAATAAAATGATATTATTTACAATAAGGAAGAGGGTGTAAACTTAATCTCACAATTGGCTAACAATAATATAGGTCAAATTCGCTTTTGGTGAGAATAGAACAAAAAACTTCTCACTTATCAATGAAAAAAAAAATCACTAAAGCAACTATTTTTTTTTTTTTTGTGTTTTACCAAAAACTCAATTTGGAAACCAATATGAATTCCCACTTGAGGCCAATTTTAAAAAAACTTTTGGTAGGTGTGAATCATTTTACCATGGGCTTGAAGGAGACCAAAATCATTAACTGATAGCTGCGGTGCAATTTCGTTTTCCATACTTTTTTTATTTTCGAAAAATATAAACGTATGTTATCAGAGCCTAACTCTGGCCGTGGTGTGCCAACGAGGTCGTCGAGCCCCTTAAAGGAGGTGGATTATAAGATCCCACATCGTCCAGAGAAGTGATCCTTATATGTATCTTCTCATCCCTACCTAGCACGAGACCTTTTGGGAGCTCACTGACTTCGGGTTCCATCGAAACTTCGAAGTTAAGCGAGTTCGTGCGAGAGCAATCCCAAGATGGGTGACCCACTGGGAAGTTCTCATGTGAGTTCCCAAAAAACAAAACTGTGAGGGCGTAATCGGGACCCAAAGCGGACAATATCGTGTGAGTTCCGAAAAAACAAACCGTGAGGGCATGGTCGGGGCCCAAAGCAGACAATATCGTGCTATGGTGAAATCGAGCACGGGATGTGATGGGGGCCCGGACCGGGATGTGACGATTTGGTATCAGAGCCAATCCCTGGACGGAAGTGTGCTGACAAGGGCGTTGGGCCCCTTAAGGGGGGTGGATTGTAAGATCCTACATCGCCTAGGGGAGTGACCCTTATATGTATATTCCCATCCCTACCTAGCACGAGGCATTTGGAGAGCTCACTGGCTTCGGGTTCCATCGGAACTCGGAAGTTAAGCGAGTAGCGCCCGAGAGCAATCCCATGATGTGTGACCCACTGGGAAGTTCTCATGTGAGTTCCCAAAAAAAAAAACCATGAGGGCGTGGTCGAGGCCCAAAGCAAATAATATCGTGCTACGGTGGAGTCAAGCCCGGGATGTGGTGGGGCCCGAACCCACATCGCCCAGGGGAGTGATCCTTATATGTATATTCACATCCCTACCTAGCACGAGGCCTTTTGGGAGCTCACTGGCTTCGGGTTCTGTAGGAACTTCGAAGTTAAGCGAGTTTGCGTGAGAGCAATCCCATGATAGGTGACCCACTAGGAAGTTTTCGTGTGAGTTCCCAAAAATAAAACCGTGAGGGCGTAGTCGGGGCCCAAAACAAACAATATCATGGTACTGTGGTAGAGCAGGCCCGGGATGTGGTGGACCCCGGGCCGGGATGTGACAAATTGGTATCAAAGCCTAACCCTAGTCGTGGTGTGCCGACAGGGTCGTCGAGCCCCTTAAGGGGGGTGGATTGTAAGATCCCACATCGCCTAGGGAAGTGATCCTTATATGTATATTGTCATCCCTACCTAGCACGAGGCCTTTTGGGAGTTCACTGGCTTCGGATTCCGTAGGAACTCCGAAGTTAAGCGAGTTTGTGCGAGAGCAATCCCATGATGGGTGACCCATTGGGAAGTTCTCGTATGAGTTCCTAAAAACAAAAACCGTGAGGGCGTGGTCGGGGCCCAAAGCGGACAATATCGTGCTACGGTGAAGTTGAGCCTGGGATGTGACATATGTAGAGAATCTGTGCCGTTGAAATTTGATTTAATGACTACAAATAGGAGCTCATTTTAAAAATTATAATAATTTCAGTCGTTAAATCAAATTTAAACAGCACGGATCCCCTGATTTGATGGATTAGGAGGAAAAGATCCGAAGAGGATCCCTTTCCTTTTACTATGGCTTGACGGAGACCAAAATCATTGACTGATGGTTGTGGTGCAATTTTCGTTTTCCATACTTTTTTTTTTTTTAAAAAAATATAGACACCTATAGAAAAATGTTAAGCAGACTCGACTTTAATATTATAAAACATTGTACTAAAATATGAGCTAACATTCATGGAGAGTCTCACTTCTAAGAAAGTCTCCTTAGCATTTCTCACATATGTATAACTGATTACACGCTTTTAATCAAAAATCGAAACTAGGGCACAATAAATAGACGACAAGTCTAGCACGGTTAAGTACTCATTTATTGTCTATTCAGTATCGGTTTTATTTGTACACATATCCTAGACGAAGAGCCATCATCATCAAAGGTTGGTGAACGCGCATTTTACAAATCAAGAAAAGAAAATGGACAAGGTAAACCAAACAAAGCTCTATGATTTCTGTGTATATATATATATATACATATGGAGAATCGTTTCTTCAGCAAAAATACATGGACACCAAACTTAGCAGAAAAACTGTAGATCGTCTCTTGCTCCCATGCTAGTATGACCCGGGCTTGTTTTACAAAAGAATCAAAAAAAATTATGTAGCCTTTTCATCAATAGACCGTTCAGGAATAGGAGGTCGAAGAATGTTCTTCACAATTCCCACCTTCGTTCACAAGTTTCCAAATCAGTAGAAAAAAATGATATAAAGATACAAAGTGTCCAATCTACTTCGAAGCAAGGGAAAGATGCTCAAAACAGATGCAAGGATATTTTTCGTCAACAAATTTTTTTTATAGGTGGACTTTCATAAGCAGCTGTCGCATTGTTTGGTTGGTGCCACTTTACAAGTCATTGCCTCATTGGATTTGGAGGTCGTCTTCTTCATCTTCTTCTCACTTACTTTCTTGCGATCGGATAGTAATAAAATTTACATGTACCTGAAACTTCATCGGAGGTATATGAACGGCAATGTCGATCGATATTCGCGTCAGGAGAGATATTCCCAAATGCCAATGAAAAATACTAAAGATAGCATGCGTGTAGAGGAAAGAGTGGATTTCAAGATGAACGAACCAGACCTGGCTGGATCAAAATAATAAAAAGAGAGAAAAAAAACTCAGGATTCTAGCTTGGAAGGTGAAGCATGTATATTCTAGTTCGTTTTGAGTCCAGACTGCAAATATCTTGTTGGAAGGCTCCATTAGTGTTGCAGTAGGCCGCGACATCCCAGCCGTCTGCAAAAGGATAAAGCACCAACACAGATGGAAGAAAGGCAATGTCGCTACTACACTGAGATTGTATTGTGTTTGCTCTCTGCACCAATCCATCGGCATTCAATTAGTCAAAACAAGTGTGGTTTTGATAGCTTGTGCTAACTTCTATACCTATACAATCCCAACACAATGAATGCTTGAACGACGTTTTGTTTTGGAAAATTATCGGACAAGAAGTCCTTAAAAATCAAAGTAATTATAAAACGTGTGGCAAGGACAATTAACGGACAAAGTCCATAATATAAAAACATTAACAGGAAGAAACCTGCAAGATTGTTGCTTTAAATAATTGTTTATTTAGCATCGTTTGACACAAGATTGTTGCTTTATACAGTTCTAGCGTTGCATAGCTCATCAACTGAATCCCCTCTTTCAAAAACTGCAGCAGCCCCCATACCTGAGCCTGCAACAAGGACACACTCTTAGTCGCGTTTCATATTCTCATATGAAGCTCTCAATATTCTGCCTTCCTTCATAAACAAATCAAGTGGAAGGGGTGCAAAACGATACCTATGCACATGGAGATAACACCAAAGCGGTGATCCCTGCCACGACGCTTCATTTCATTCAGGAGAGTTGCTACACAACGAGCACCTAACACAAGAACAGATACAGTATTCACGTTAAATCACACAGACCCTCACTTCCTCGTTGTTCAGTAAGACCAGGAAATAAACCAAATAATAGCACATTAGACACACGTGCACGCATGTTTATGTCATCACACATCTGTTCGTCGCAGGAATCTCCTGGCGGACGAGCACACAGCTCCCCTGGGAGAATGGCGTCGGTTGAGGGTATCTGTCGTACTTCTGCTTTCTTCTCGGGCTCGCTCGGGCAAGCCTTTGTCGGGCAGATCTTGGTCGGGCAAGACACACTTCGGGCAAGGCTCGTCGGGCAGTTCTGAAAGAGAAGGACAGAGTTAATTTGAAAGGGTGCCTTCGTGGGGCCTTAGATGTAGGCCTTAAGGCTCACAATCAAGATTAACTTTGTCGTGCTCAGGCGTGCCACTGCCATCTTCAGTATGGCAGATGTTGAATGGGTGTTAAGCTTTGATTGAATATGTATACGCCCGAGAAACCAAGTTAGATATAACAGGTGCCTTTGTGCGGCCTTAGGTATAGGCCTTGAGGCTTCCTGTCAAACTAAACCAGCGCTTGGATGTATCATATTTGGTCTTTTATGGTTGCCCGAGTCTTATCACTATTATACTTTTGATTATCTGAATCCAAGAGGTAGGACGAACCCAAATGAGTGCCTTTGTAGGGCCTTAGGTATAGGCCTTGAGGCTTCCCATCAGAGTTAATCCTTATACTCGGACCAACTAGACCACAACATGAAATGAAGCTAAATAGATGCCTTCGTGGGGCCTTAGGTGTAGGCCTTGAGGCTTTCTATCAGAATTCACTCCCTGCTTAAGCCTTTTCTATGAATCAAAATATAATAGCAACAAAACGGAGAAATAGATTGATTACTTGCGCCCCAAGTAACTTCGGACTTCTCGCTTATCAAGGATTGTCGTGGATGGGTTGAGTCCACATAGAGTTCTTTTTTATGCCTTGAGGCCAAGGACTTTTAAACTACTGATCTTTAAATTACATGCCCGCCGGGCTTGAGACTTAGATCTGATTTGAACTCTGACACGATTCAGATCGGATCTAAGTGCTGAAGACTCATTTTCATTATGACTTTGCTAGAAATAACTTGTATATAACTGGGAATATATAACATGTTATTGTGCTTTTAAAAGAAAGAAAAGACAAAGACAGAGCAAAGATAGTCGGGTAAGTTTGAACCTTATCGGCCAAGGCTGAACTTCTTACAAAATCTATCTTTGTGGCTCTGTCAGAGGTCTGAAAGCTTTTAGAGGGGTTGACGGGGGAGAAGAGGATACAAAATGAATCGATACCACCATGAACAAGGTAGCAGAGCTATTACAGGGGTTTGGGAAGGTTTATCCCGAATGGGATGAAGGCTTGTGCTGACTACAGCTTCGTTGAAGGCAAATCTGGCTTGAGCAGAGTTTTGGCTTTTGTTTGTTTGTTTGAGTGTCCTTAATTCTGTCTTCTCTTCCTCCTTTTATAGACGACTTCAGCTTGGGTTCCTGTAGCAATAGAGGTTGCCCGAATGCGGTTTGGTGATGACTCACTAGCTTTTTTACATGAATGCCACCAATAAAGTACTTTATTGGGCTGTGCAGTGACTGAATAACCTACCCCCCTGTGGTCTTTGAGCAGGTAAGCAGGTGGCCTTTGTAACTTGTGCCCAGCCGAAAGCCTCTTTCCTGCCTCCTAAGTTTTCCTCTGGGCCTTGGGTTTGGGCCGGCCTTCTCTCTGGCCCAAAGTTCAGATTTTATCCCAAAACACATCAGCTTCAGCTTCACTTCATATACCTGTAGCGCCTAAAGGATGGCCTAGAGCAATAGCGCCTCCATTAACATTGACTTTTTCAGGATCAAGCTCCAATTTCTTGCAACAATAAACATATTGAGATGCAAATGCCTACAGAAAACCAATTAAACTGCTCAGCTGAACATTCTTCCAAACTAAACTACATTTATCGTGAATGTTACAGTTTTCATTAGCAATGGACTACCTCATTTATCTCAAACAGATCAATATCATCAAGCTCAAGACCAGCAGATTTCACTGCTACTGGAATTGCAGCAGCTGGACCTACTCCCATGACAGTGGGATCCACACCAACCGCAGCAAAACTCCTGCACAGAGATCATAAAGTTGTATCGAAAGTACAAAGCAAGCTGTAGTTAGTTCTTGAACATATCCATCTCATGGAAATTAACTACAATTCGCAACCAAAAGAATTATTAAGAATTAATATAACATAACAGTATTGCAGAGTCAACTCGAGAGCCCTCATATTTTTTCTACTTGAAGCAATTAGATTGAACAGATTTAATCAACATCATACCTGAAAACACCAAGAATAGGAAGTCCCTTCTGCATAGCTAACTTCTTTTCATGAGGAGGACTGCTCCAGCACCATCACTCACCTGGCTAGCATTTCCTGAAAGACAAAAGTAATGAACTGATTCACAATGATTGAAACAAGATAAACAAAAATCAATGTTTTAAAAAGCACGCCCAAAGCTCACCTCAGGGCGCGCCTAGGCGTGAGGGTTGCCGCCAGTGGCGGATCCAGGAATCTTACCCCAAGGGGTCGCAGTGTAAAAGTTCAAATAAAAATTTAGGATGGAAAAACATATTGAAAATGAAATCATAGTACTTTCATTCATAATTCATAATGGAAACAATATTACAAACTATAATTGTCCACGACGAGGTTTCATATTTTGAAAACGAAGCATTATAGCTTCATTTTCAATACAAGCAAAAATATCTCTCTCAATATAAACAAGCAAGCTATCTCTCTCAATATAAAAGTGGAGTGTATATGGTATTATAGTAAGAACTAGTAGTTTCAGTGCTGAACACTCAATGGTAGATTAACTGCTGATTAACGTGTTAATGCAAACTATAATTTTGGGTGGTATATACTACAAATAGAAACAGCCATGATTTGATTCTTCAGAATTCGATTGTGCAGCATTAGCTAGAGCATGAGAGTTTTTGAGTTTTGACCGATATAGATTCATAATTGAAAAATGTAAATTAAAGAAAAAATAAATTACACATTGGTATTTACACACCCAAAAGGGTGTTTTTTTTTTGTTTTTTTTGGTTTT